GGCAAGTCGAATTACTCGGAACAAGGTGGGGGACACAAAATATTTCTCAATAATCTCTGCGAGGAACATTCCTGCAAAAGGAAAAAAATAAATAAAAGTGACACTTCTATAGCACCCATTATTTCTCATCACTTTAAAAAGCAGAACCTGTGCATTAAGCACACGTGCAAATTAAAATAGTTTTAAATGATTCCTAAATGTAAACTGCTATATTAGTCCAAAGGAAACATGGATTAGATGCTGGTATGTTGAAAAAAATTAACAAGCAATAAACTTAACGGTTAAAAACAATAAGACTGTTAATCTTCATTGTCTTAGGCAAATTCTAAACCAATCAATTTGCAAACAGAAGAAAATGTGTAAAAATTATTTGGTTCTGTCAGGGAATTGCACAGCCAGTGTCCAAATGGAGTCAGAGATGCTAACATGAACTTGTAGTTTTATATAAATTTACATTTATATTTACAGTAAACAAGATAGCCAGGCGCCCCACTATATCATGAGGTAAATCATGAGGTAAATCACAGTACAGCACATAAAGCACACAGAAGGCGGAGAAAAGGGAAACTCCACCAGCAACCAATCTTAATGTAGGACCAACCCTCCCCCCGCCCCGTATTTGAAGTTTAGCATTTTTCTATGTTTTTCAATATATCATTTCGTCATGCTTATATTTAATTCTATTTGCCAATTACTATTAACTATTATTTGAATTATATATATAAAACAATCCTATTACTGAACTAGGACTCTAAAAAAAGGGTACATGACTTTATTGAATCAGATTACAAACCTATTACTGAATTAGAAATCTAATGCAATTTAGTAAATGAGGTTAGCCATTATGTATTTTTGGAAACAAGTGGTTCTTACCTACAATGGAGAGAATGACGACGACAAAATCAAAAATATTCCAGCCAATGGTAAAATAATAATGACGAAGTGAAATCAGTTTGAGTACACATTCTCCAGTGAAAAGAATTATGAATACCAAGTTAATCCTGGATAAAATAATTTCCATTTCTTTACTTTGGTCATCTGTTTCAACCATCATGGTGACCATATTAAGGCAAATAAGAATCATGATAGTGATGTCAAAGGCTTGTTTGGTTACAAAGTCAAAGACTAATCCTTGAAATTTATTCTGTAAAAACAAATACAAAAAATATTAATATTGCAAAAAGAGTTTTCTTTAGTATTGGATTATTTTTCCTTCATTGTTTGTTTTACTAATGTTCATGCCCTCTCCTTTTGGGAATTGACGATTATACTAAGTGGTATAAATCAAAAGAAAAAAAAATCAAATCTTGAAACAAAATCCACTATTTGATAAGCTGTAATTTCAGATATTTTATTGTCCACATATCATTACAGGAAATATTATTTTAAACAAGATGTTAAGAGTTAGAAAGTCTGATCTGAGAGTAGAAAATATGTAAAATAGAAATCCTTACCCCTGGTCTTGGTATCGGCTTTTGTGGTTTTTTGGAACCCAGCTTTTTCATTGCATTGTAATATTTTTTCTGTTCCTCTGTCATAAAAATGTCTTGTCCTCCAAAGTAAAGAAATAAATCAAATCTAGTTACACAACATGTTTTCAGACTGATGTGTGTAATGATGTAGAAACACATATTAATCCATTGGTAATAATATTATGTTATTACAATTTCATATTATTTCAGTATCATATCATATCCACTGGCCTGAGTTTATTTCTAGGCGAAATAAAAAGAATTGCGTTTGAAGTTTAAGACCTGGAAGAGTCTTAAGAATTTATTTCTGTATAATACCATATACACTGAATAACTTTTAAATCTGACCTTTCCCCTCAAAATATGGACAGTAGGTTCACAAGATAAGATTTCTTTTCTGGCTATGAGATCAAAGAATATATAACCATTCTTGTTTCTCTATATTTTGTATTAGCAATAGCACTTAGATTTATATATCGCTTCACAACCCTCTCTAAGTGGTTTACAGAGCCAGCAACATGGGTCCTCAATTTACCAACCTCGGAAGCAGTGGTGGGTTTCCATTTTTTTTACTATTGTTTCGCTCATGCGTGCGTGCACTGCTTCTGCACATGTGCAGAAGCATCCGGGCAGGTGGGCCCCCCACTGCTGCCACTACTGGTTCGCCCGATCCGGGCTGAACCAGGAGCAACCCACCTCTGCTCGGAGGGATGAAAGGCTTCTAACCTTGAACCAGTGAAATTCAAACTGTCGAACTGCTGGCAGTCAGCAGAAGTAGCCTGCAGTACTGCATTCTAACCACTGTGCCACCACCGCTCTTAGTAGAAAGAGGAAGAACAATTAAAGGTTTCTCTTTTCTCTAGTTTTGCTGCTAGATCAGTGGGTCTCAACCTTCCTAATGCCGCGACCCTTTAATACAGTTCCTCATGTTGTGGTGACCCCCAACCATAAAACTATTTTATGTTTCCTGTATTGTTTCAAAAATATGTGTTTTCTGATGGTCTCAGGCGACCCCTGTGAAAGGTTCGTTCGACCCCCAAAGGGGTCCCGACCCACAGGTTGAGAAACACTGTGCTAGATCATTTTAATAGAATGTGTGAAATGCTTTCATTGTTTTAGTTTCTGAAGTATAGTTTTGTTAGCTGTCCAGGGAATATTTATAAATATAGACTATTAGAGAATAAATTTAAGAAGTTAAAGCAGGGTTGGCTAAACTCTTCCTGAAAGACCAGGCTTATAATCTAGGAAAGTCTTTCTCCACATTTGTCTTTGTATCCTCTAGTGCCAAAAAGCACATTTGCAGAATTATGCCTGCTGTAGCAAGCAGCAACTTTCTGTAAAGCTTAAATACAGGCACAATTATTGATGTCTTGGTTGTGTTTAGAGTACTGCAATATGCTGTGTGCGAAATAATCTTTGAACAGTGTCCCAAAGCAATTAATGTAAAATACAGCTCCTTTATTGTTAAACTATGTCAAATTCCAGGAACATATTATGTTTATGCTAAAAGAACTGCATTAGTTTCGGCTATCCTATGGGCAGAATTCAACACAGAAGAGTTTAATTTTTAATATGCTGGATGGTTTAGGTCCTAATGATCAGTTAGGAACCTTTCTTGTTATGAACTTGTTTGGATATTAAGATCTGCAGGAGATGCCTTTTATGGATACCCTTATTTAAAACTCTCCCCTTGTGTGGGTGGAATAGGGTCTTGCCATGCATCAGTTCCTAGTTATCAAATGCCTACTCTTAGAAGTTGTCTTCAGCCCCTCTTCTCCATCTGCCTTTAGAAAGGGAATTAGAATTCACTTCCTTTTAGTGTTTTCTGTGATTCAATCATTTATATGTCTGGTTCACTATGCTTTGATTTGTTGATCCCCTTTTTCTTTTGGTTTTATGCTATTACTCATCCTGATCATCCTTTTGAAAAAATAAATATGCTTATGAAATAACTACATCTACTCTCCTCCTATGAAATTAATATTCCAAATACAAACAGGCAATTGTTGTAAAGGACATCAAGACTAGATCACATGTTGCACTGAATTATAAAGTCCTGGACCTCCCCCCCCACAAATCACTCATAAAACTACAATTTTGAACAAACTATACTTTCTCAACTTAAATTGTTGGGTTGTAATCATGCTCAGGGGACCCCAGTGAAAAGCTGTAATATAGTAACATATTTTAGAAGAAATGAGTTTTATCTACTCTTACTTCCTTAATTTTTATTTTCTGTTTTGTCAACCAGTACATAAAAAACATTTAATTTCTTTACCTTCATATTGGTTCCTGCACTGAAAGTGAAGTTGTGGTTGGGAAGGAGGATTATAGGTTAAAAAAAAAACCCTAATAATGGTGAGATTATTGTAGCTGGCAAAAAAACCTACTGGAAACTCAGGATGACAAGGTAGTAGTATTTATATAAATATTTAAATGTATATTGTTCTAATAGTTTAAGGGGGTTTCTTATGGGTTTTTTTAAATTGTAAATTTTATTTCCAGAGTATACAGCAAACATTTTAAATACTTATCTTCTTCTTTTGCTGATTGAAATTATCTATAATGACACCAATGAAGAGGTTTAAGGTAAAAAATGATCCAAAGATGATGAAGATAACAAAGTAAAGATACATATATAGGTTATCCTCATAATAGGGTTGTTCTTCTACCTACAAGGCATAAAACAATACAGTATCTTAGTACAATCACTTAAGGCAGGCAGTAATCAAATTATTTTGTAACACAACAATTCAGTATAAATTAGGAATCTATTCCTGTTTCTATCCATGCTGTGAAAGTAGACTTTGATCAATCAGAAATTCTCCCATAATCAATGTACTCAGATTACAAGGAACCTGCCATGTTTCACATAGTCCTATTCTTCCTGCTACACTCTATAGCAGTGTTTCTCAACCTTGGCAACTTGAAGTCCTGTGGACTTCAAGTTGCCAAGGTTGAGAAACACTGCTCTATAGCATCCTATCTTTGGGAATTCTGAAGGCCCTCCTAATTTTCCCAAATTTCCAGAGGTGATGGGGCCAAAGTAGGGAGAAGGGGAAATCAGCAGAGATCACTTCTCATCTCATTCCATTGTTGAAATGTTTTATTGAAAACTTCCACAGGTGGCAGAAACTTTTTCATCTGTAGGAGGACAAAACTGGAACCAAGCTATGAAATGAAAATGTCTTTCAGTTCATCATTCCTGTGAAACCTTTTCTCAATTACAGGAACTGAGAAATGCTTTAAGCATTTTTATTAAATAAATATAATTTTTAGCAGAGGAAAAACTATGGATTATAAAATACAACATATAGTTATGAACCAGAAACCTTTCTCTGTGTTTAATAGAATATGAAATGCTACTTACATCCCGTGAATCAACAGCCGCATACATAATATCCATCCACCCTTTAAAAGTAGCCTAAACAGAATCAAAATGAGTGAAAGTTCAGTGAAAGAGTGAAAGAGACATAAATATGCAACAGATTTTAAATCCTACTTTAAAAAGTCGTGTTGGAATGTAACTTAGTCATGGGGAAATATTAAGGATGTGCAAAGTGTTTAATACATGATTCAAAATGTGAATGTTTTATTCAGGGCAGACGTGCAAAGGTAGGGGGAACTATTGTAGGTAAAGCCAAAGATACTGGCAGCTATAAGAAGAAAAACACTGCAAAGGTGAATAGACAAGGTCGGTAGAATATGTTGCATGAGAACACTGGCAGAAGTAGCTGCTGGTGGGCACTTCTGTGGAATATACACGCTGGGACGTTGACAGTGGCTGAATGGAAAATAAGAAGATGCTAGGAAGAGCAGGGACTACCAAGATGATGGGATATAATACACTAGATATAATATACTGTGCCCATTGGAGGCAGCTGACAGGACAGAGTGAAGGAGACTGCTGGGAAAATGATGGAAGGGCCAATAAATATGTTGCACAGGGAACTGCTGATGGAAGGAGGGCAGAAACAGGTGTCCTCTTCATCAACCCCAGATTTCATTTTGAAGCCTGGAACAACCAAAACATTTGGGTTTTGTGGATCCACAATTCATCTGGATGAATTCAGCAGATGAATTCAATGATTCAACAGATTCATCAGAATGATTTGTTCCAGAAGTAAAACATTTTCCCCACTTATGTGCACATCTCACAATGTGCAAGATTGTCGAATGTAAACTGCAACAATCCAGATTGGACTTGAGTGGTAGCAAAAAGTTAGGGGTTTCTGGATTTCTATGCTGCTCTCTAGTGGCCATATGAATTTCTGCAGCCCACCTGGAATTCTGAAATCTAAATCCAATAAACAAAGCATTAAACGTAGTGACTCTATTTCTGCTGCATAAATGCCGGAAATATTGGTATAAACATTTAATAGAGGAGTGTCTATGAAGATACTCAGTCATCCAGGTCATGGTTGCCCCTAAGGCGCTTTTTTCAGAAGTCAACTGGACTTTCTGGTTTTCCCTTGAAGACGTTTTGATTCTCATCCAAGAAGCTTCTTCAGCTCTAGCAGGGTAGTGGGGAAATGGAAGGATTTATACTTATTTAATAGACGAGCTGAGTCAATACAGCCTAGTTTTGCATTCTGATATGTTACAGAAGAAGATGTGAACTGATAGAATAATACTGGACTGGAACTAACACAAAGGGAAATTAAAAGATGCCCTCAAAGGTGCATTTACTTCCTGTGCTTGGCTAACAAGAATTGATGCACCTGTACTAGTGGACTTACTATTCTCCACTGATGTATTTATTATATTTTACTGAATATATTTGTGATGTAGTGATGGAATTACTGAATCTGGACCGGGAAACCAAGTCTCTCTCAGCCACAAAGCTCAGAGTGGATAACTTTGAGAAAACTATTTTCTTTTTGCCTAACCTCTCTAAAAAGGTATTGTAGTTGTGAGAATAAAATTAATAACACTCTTCACTTCAACCGGAAGAACTATCAGGCTAGCCATAGTAATATTCTGCATAACGGAATATTTTTTGGAGAGGAGAAGTGTGTCTGAATCACCAAATAAATGGTAATGCCGATGAATCTTTATTCTGTGTATCTGATCTCAATCTCTTCTTAGTGATAAATTAATCTTGTGCAAGCAAGACCAAGGATTGGACATTTCCAATCTTATTGTATTAACTCCATTTTTCATTAAGTCTTTGCCTGTAGAAAGAGAATATTGTCGCTACACAGCAGCCCAGGATCACCTTATCAGTGGAGTTTGCTAATAATCGTAGGCAAGACATATGGATCCCACCAACATAATTCACTGGAATTTTCTCATTGTTGCATTTCCTGTGAGAGTCACTAAAGATACTTGCAATATTGACATGGAACTGTATCATTTCAAAAAATGGCTTACCACATATCACTCTACCCTGTTTCCCCAAAAATAAGACCTCCCCAGAGAATAAGCCCAATCAGGCTTTTGAGCGCATGCACTAAAATAAGCCCTCCCCTGAAAATAAGCCTTCTCCAAAAATATTGCAACACAGCAGCAGCCCTGAGGTGACCACGCACCTGCACCTCAAAAATAATAAGACTTCCCCAAAAATAAATCCAAGCACTTATTTTGGGGGTCAAAAGAAAACAAGACCATGTCTTATTTTCAGGAAAATAAGTACTCCTTTTGATTCACCCGCCTCTATAACCTGGCCTTTAACTTCTATGAGCAAACTCTCCAGGAAGGGAATTTCACTAGATTGACAACCACTATAATACTTCTCCTTTGTTATAATAAGCCTTATATCTAATGGAGTGGCATCTAGAGAACATCATCAAACAGTGTTATCATGGTTAAATCAGGAATTCTTTTTACTTATAGAAATTCCAGTGTGAACCTGGAATAACAAAGTAGTAATGCAACAGTTTCACTATTACTTTTATTTATTAAATTTACTACATATAGTCACCCATCTCACCAAAGGCAACTCTTTTGATCCTGGAGCTTGATTCAAGCAAGTATCACTGGAACCTAAGTGGAGCTTTGGAGTGAAAGTAATGAACTTAGATGATTTTCATGGTTATTCTTATAGGTACTTGGATAGAAAAAAATGTACTTACAACTTGAAGCAGAGCAAGATAACCAGCCCCAACGTTATCAAAGTTAACTTTCACGTTTTTCCATCGGGCTTGCTGATTGTTGTGTATTAGCTCATCGCATTCAGTTTTATTGTTGACATCACTGATGTTGAACATTTCACCCGTTGTGGTATTAACGCAATGGTAGAATTTGCCAGCAAAGAGATTCACACCCATAATACTAAAGATCAGCCAAAATATGAGACAAACCAGAAGCACATTCATAATGGAGGGAATTGCTCCAACAAGGGCATTAACAACCACCTAGGGTACATATTGAAGAGGGGAAAAAAGGGAGGGGGAGGGAAAGAAGGCCTAGATTATTATTATTTTTTTGCAAGTGAAGCTGTTTATATTCAGAAACTGTATGGAAAAAAATAATACACATGGCAAAGTAGGAAAGCTAAAGTCCCCCCACCCCAAAGGCAAAACAGAAACTAAACGCTACAGAAGGTAAAAACAAAAACAAAAACCTGGTAAGATGGAATCATAACATTTGCGTGCACTGAGGAAAAAAAGAAAGAAAGAAAAAGGTTACATACCAAGAACATAACTGGTAAAAAATACGTACAGGTATATGTCTGATAAGTAATGGCTGGAACAAGAACATAAATATGCAAAATATATGAAGCCACAGACTTCAAGAAATCAATAAAGAGACAAAAAAAAAGATAACAATCAATGTAGCTCAAACTAACAATTTAGGGAGAGATGAATGGCCATTTGTTTAAATGCAGCCAATCGTGGAGTCTTCATAGACTCATAGCTTCTGTTCAAAAGCAGGCAGCAACTGTGATCAGGAAGTCCTTGCACAGGTCCATCTGGTGCACAGTTGCATCCTTTCCTGGATCAGAGGGCCCTCGAAACAGTCACATATGCACTAGTCACCTTATAGCTTGACTAGTATAATGTGCTCTGGTCTCTTAAAAACCACTTGGAAACTTCAAGTGCTCCACTTTGCTTCTGGATCTGATTGGCCTACAAAGGCATGCATAGCAGAGGGTCTAGTTATTTGAGGGACCACCTGTCTATTATGTGTCTGCCTGGCTGATGTCACATAATGATATTGACTTGGTATGCATGTTTTGGGTTCCTTTGATCAAATGGTGTTATCTATGGAGACCAGGAAGTGCACCTTCTCTGTTGAGTACCTGCTCTCTGGAATCAGGTTTCCTGAGATCTGGGTAACTTCTACCCAAAGGAGTTCCAGAGGAACTTAAAGATTTGTCTGATCTACTAGTCTTTAGGCTAGGGTGGAATCCCTCAACGGATATTTCTTTTAGATTTCAATATTTCTTGGCTTGGATAATCAAAACTTCAAAATTTTAATTTTCTGAATATACAACATAAATATCTTGATAGTTTTAAAAAATACATGTTTGTGATTCAAAATACATGTATAGTAGCTATCTATACTAATGTTCACATACATTGTACATATATCCCTAACACCTGAAGAATGTCCTAATACTTGAAACACAACATAATGTTAATCACGGAAGCACTAAAATGGCTTAAACAATTTATGGGGGATATCTCAAAGAAGGTGGTAGAAAGATTTTTTAAAAATATTTTGGAAGTGCTTATGACCAAGGCATGAAATAGCAATGAAAAAAGCTCAACATTTCTGCTCTGATACATCACTGCTTATATTGCAGAGACAGAAAATATTAATTTAAGGTTTGTTTCTTAATGTCTCACCCTCATTCCTTCAAAACGTGACAGAGCTCTTAAAGGCCTCAATGCTCTTAGTGTTCGAAGTGATTTAATGGCTCCTAATTCAGAATAGCCTAGTGCATTGGCTACTAAACTGACCAATGAAACCTGGAACAAAAGAAAAAAAAGAGAAGAAAGTAAGTTCAGATATTCATATAACATATTTTGAGTGAGATTCTACAGGCTCCAACTGGGCTTTTATGTTGCCTTGAATGGATGGGCTAAGGACACAAAACTGAAATGAAATTCCCATAGATTATGTTTCTTAAAGTCAGACTCTTTAAGTGTTTTTCATTCTGTATATGTGCTTTATAGCGCCCCCTTTTAAACCCTTAGATGCTTGCCTTCAGAACAGATCTGACTTAAAGTGTACTTAGAGTGTACTCTATATATGTGTATATATGTATGTGTGATTCTTTACATGCATTTACACACACCTTTCACCAATTTTTAATCTAGTCAATCCATTCTTAAAATAAATTCCAAAAGGAGGCATAAAGAACTTTTAAACAGAGAGGCAGGAATGTCAGATTTCCTCATATTTCTTTAAAAACTGTGGGTTTCTTCTTGGATAATTAAAATAAAAAATTTATTTCCTTGAGTTCACTTTTCTTTTGCCAGAGAATGAGATAGAAAACAGGAAAGTAGCATTGGGGGGGGGAGATATAAAACTGAGAGGAAATATTAAATTTAAATATTGTTATTACTAATTTAATGTTAGTTACCCAACATGAGGAGAAGAACATTCTCATGCAAAATGGGAAGTAGTAGGGAGGAAAGTAGATGGTATTTATCTTCCAAACTAATAAGACTATTTCAGGATGACAACTAAACTTATCTTTTAAAATTCACGATTTAGACTCTTTTTTGAAGTCATGGCTGTTTTTCAAATCAAGCACATACTTCGGGTAGGTTGAGAAAGAAAAACTGGGACACTCGCAGAACTCTCAGGGTGACATTTCTCAGAATGACAAAGGCTTAGCATTATGCCTTAATTCAACAGGCCCAGTTAATTATTTCTTCAGTCAACCTTACAAGCTAAAAAGGGATTCTGCAAACTGAGACACCTGCTATTATTTTTTATTCTGAAAGCATTCCTGTTGTTATTCCTTATTCTTTTTTCTTTTTTTTTTGTAAGTCTATTTGATGTTTCTGTGTTTTAATTTTTTCTACAGCTGTCACTGATTGGAAGCAGTTTGGGCCTCTCCATGTCTTTCAAAGAGTTAATATAATTGGCATTGCCTGTCAATTAATTCAGCTATGTATCAACATCCCATCTTGACAGCATGTGTAAACACATCAGAGTATGTTATCTCAAATAACATATCACTTTCATCGTGGTAAGGCTGAATCAAGCACAGCTATGATTTCTCACACATTAGCCTTATGGCATTCTGAAAGCACAGGAAGACCTGGTAGCTATATTCTAGGACAAGGTGTAACCAGGATCACCGTTATTGATTTCTCCAGAATGGCTTACTAGAAAAAGGGCTAATAGAAAAAGAGCTTTTTGGGGAATCATAGAATAAGAGATGATTCTGTTAATTGTATTTATATTTGCTCCAATGGTAATCAGATACCTTTCCTTTCCTTCCATTCCCTTCCCCACTTTCTCTTTATTAGTTTGTGTTGGTTTTCATGTGCTTCATACAACTTTTATTAAAAACTATTTTTAGGCTTACTTTTATGGATATAATTTTGGCTCAGCCTTTAAAATCTTTTAAAATTGTTGCAGTGATTTTATATACAGGTAGTTCTTGACAATTGAGCCCAAAATTTCTGCTGCTAACTGCAACATTTGTTAAGCGAGTTTGCCCCATTTTATGACCTTTCTTGCCATCCGTGTTAAGTGAATCCCTGTAGTTGTTAAAGTAGTTGCACTGTTGTTAAGTGAATTTGACTTCTCCATTGACTTTGCTTGTCAGAAGGTTGCAAAGGGGGATCATGTGATCCCAGGACACAGAAACCATCAGAAATGAGTCAGTTGCCAAGTGCCTAATTTTGATAACATTACCATTGGGCCTAAGTGTGAAAACTGATCATAAGTCACTTTTCCCAGTGTCGTAGTAACTTAAATGAACAGTTGTAAGTTGAGGACTAGCTGTACACACTAAAATGTATATAATTATTTTTATTTTTTACAATTTTGTATTTTTGCAAGTTTTTATTGTGTCTTAAGAGGGCTGAAATAAGGAATTGGCATGTTACAAGTTGCAAAAATCTGTCATATGAAATTATGTAAGTGACAAAGAATAGAAGGCTGTCTAATGCTTCACATTTAAAGTCCTTGAGCAGTCAATATCAAAAAGAAAAACAAAAAAAGAGAAGCAGTAGAAAAGCCGAGGATGTAATTGTTCTCTAATAGAGTGTTTGGATTCACGTACTGAACTTTTAGCCATACTTTCTTAAATAAGCTATAGTGGTCTCATTCACACTTAACACCAAGCCAGAAATATGTCTATAAATCAAAACAAAAATTAAACAACCACATTACAGTACAGTGTTCATGTAGATCCAGATCAAAGGTGGATTTCTGCCAGTTTGGCCCGGATCGGGCGAACCGGTAGTGGTTGCATACACACGAGCAAACCGATAGTTTAAAAAAATGAAAACCCACCACTGATCCAGATAGATATTTACTGTCCAGATCATTCTCCTTCAGCGTGGTGCCTTTCAATTGCTGAAATTGAATATCATTTAGAGGGGCATCATGTTGAAGAGGACATCTAGACAAGTTAGAAGGCTATAATATTTTTTAAATGCACCAATATAGATGTGTATATATGAATTAAAATTATGAGAAAATTATGATCAACTCCTTGTTCCAAAAATTTGCTTTATGCTAATTAGAATGCTAATAGTATTTCCAGAATAACCTTTTATTAATGGAACACCAGTGTTCCATTTCAGTTCTTTTTAGCTTAGCAGGGTATTCTTAGCAGAAAGATGCTAGATAATATATCTACAAAGCAAACTATGATTTTTCAATACTTACATCAACAATTAAAAAATCCAGCCAACACCAGGCATTTGTGAAATAAATCTGGAAGCCATAGGCCACCCATTTCAAAAGCATTTCTAGAATGAAAATGTATGTGAAGACTTTGTCTGAATATTCCAGCATTGTCTTGATAGTCTTACGCTGTTCAATATATATATCTTCAAAGGCCTGAAAAGAAATGTGTTGCTTTCATCATTCACCAACCATATTTTAAAATGGAGGAAAAGGCAAAAAAAATCATTTCCCAATAACACATTAAAAAAATAGCAAGCTGCAAAGTGTTTATTTTTCTAATCTTCTCTTTCACTTTCTTTTTTAACATAAAAATCTCAATTGTCTTTCCATGGTTTTATTAATTAACTAAAGCTTTCAGATCTGAAAATACAGTCTATGCAACCTCACCAAATAAAATCTTGTCAGGTTCTTTTCTAAAAACATTGATACCATTAATATTTTGAGGATAATATTTAGTTTTCTTTTTTTTTTCTTACCAGAGCACCACTGCTGAGGAGAATCATAAATACAATGAATGTTTCAAACCAGTTATGCTCAACAATGCAGTAGCAGGTTTTTCTAAAATTCCACCAGATTTTTCCTTTGCCATCTTCTATACTCACTTGACAACATGGGAACTTTTGGATGCAGCCTGTTATAACAATAGTAAAAATGTTACTGACAGATACTTTTTTTAAAAAAACCCTGTCTTTTCTCCAAAGAGTATAACTTTTATACACAGTATTTAATCTTGTAATATCCCTCTGAAGTTAGCATAACCTGAATAGGTATATCAACATTTGCAGAAGTATTAAGTAAATGATGGAATTCATATAATGTATAAATTTTCCGAACCTGGAGTTATTCCTATGTTAGCCAGGATTTAAAGAAACCATGTCCTTTCAGAAGACTGGAAGACTTTTTCATTCCAGACTTTTAAAGCCAAAATCTCATCTGTTAAAACTCTTATTTAAGGCTTATTTTAACATTTTGGTATAAAGGTAGTCCTCAACTTATAACCACAACTGAGCCCAAAATTTAGGTTGCTAAGCGAGACATTAATAAGTGAGTTTGACAATTTTTCTTGCCATGGTTATTAAGTGAATGGCTGAAGTTGTTAAGTTGGCAACACAGTTGTTGAGTGAACCTGGTTTCCCCATCGACTTTGCTTGTCGGAAGGTTGCACATGACCAGGGTATGCTGCCACTGTCATAACTATGAGTCAGTTGCCAAACGTCCGAATTCTGATCACATGACCCTGGGGATGCTGCAACAGTCTTGAGTGTGAAAAATGAGCATAAGCCACTTTTTTCAGTCTAACTTTGAACGGTCACTAAATGAAGTATTGTAAGTCAAGGTAGTAATTAGTACTAACATTCCTGTCCAATGAACCACTGAATTTAAAAGTTTAAAAAGAGGAGAGTTAAATTACTGATACAGGACACAATGAGAAAAGCATTTGGAGAAGGAAGGATGCTCAAATTAATATTGCACCCTGGGTCTCTGGGTCTCTGACTTTCTGGAAACAAAGAGAAAACCATCCCATAGCTGCTGCACTGGAAACAAAAACTGTGGGTGTAAGACACCCCTAACACCCCTTGGGGCATGTGTTCTGTTAAGGTACAGCCTGTTGTGCCTTAAAATAGCTTCTACGGTACTGCCGTAAAATGCCTTCTACTGTACAGCGCAGTAGAGTTGCCATGGTAACAGCTCCACAGTACTCCACAAGGGGGCTCCCTCTGGTAAGGGGAAAAATCCAACAAATTACATTTGGTCTCAACATTTCCCCCCTATAAATAAATACTCGGGCAATGCCGGGTTATCAACTACTACTGAAATAAAACTATTCTGACTGTCCAGTCAGTTTCTTACCATAGAAGATGGATGGGGCATCATTTTTTCTTTCTCACAGTTAGTATCTTGGACAGGCTTTGGTTTCTGGATTTCAATTTTTCACAAAGTGGTTCCAAAAATGTTTTTGGAAGCAGAAGATGACATTCCGGGGAGAGATTGTATTTGAGAAAATACATCCAGACATTATTTTTTTTAAAGCTGATTATGCCCAGACTTTGGGATATATGACTCACTAATTTATTTTTGTTTTGTTCTTTCAAGAAAGTGTTTACTCTCCTGAAAAGAGGATTTGGTGGAATGGAGGAGGAAGCAATGTTTGGGGTTAGGGTTAGGGTAAGTACTTCACTTTTCTTTCATACAATTTCTCTCCTACGTTTCTTTTCTAAGTTACTGTCAGATTCATGGAAAATAGTTCTTTTTTTTCCCTGTGGAGGAAGAAACATCTGAATGGATTTAAAGAGATATTATTTGTATGTATGTATGTATGTATGTATGTATGTATGTATGTATGTATGTATGTAT